ATATTCCTAAATACCTTAGCTTAAATATTAAATATACTAATAAGCTTACTTTTAGTAATAAGGTTATAAAGAATTAAGATATCTTTATATAATATCTTCTTAGTTATCTTAAGCTATATTTTAGCTATAGTAATTATTAATAATTAAAGTAGTGAAAATATAAGTTATTATTTTAAGTAGTTAAAAGTATTAATTTATTTAATCTTAAGTCTTATTATTACTTTTTTAAAAATATAATAAAAAGAAAAGAGAAAAGAGAAAAGAGTATAACTAAGTAAGTAAATATTATACCTCTACTTATACTAATTTTAAGCTTAATTAGCTATACTATCTTAGGTCTCTATAGTTAACTTTATATTCTTTCTTCTAAGCCTCTATTAGTTAATCTTTTAAAGGTTATATAAACTATTAATAGCTTTATAGTAGATTTATCTTATTCTTTTATAGTAAACTTATTAGTTTTTAAAGTTATCTCACCTAAATATTATAAAGCTTTATATTCTTATTAGTTTAAAAAGCTTATTAAGTAGATCTAATTTAGCTTTAATAGCTTATAATATTAAAGAATAGTAAGAGTAGAAATAAATAAAAATCTAATACTCCCTATTATATAGACTATAATACTTTTAAGGTTTTTTTTAGGGTTTTTTTATATCCTCTTTATTTTTACTAATAGAATAATACTTAGCTATTATACTTTTCTACTTATTAAGAATTAGGTCTATAAATAACTACTTAACTCTTATTAATATATTATATTTCTTAATATTATTTAGTTAGTAATAATAGTTATAGTTATTATATATATCGCTTTAATCTATTTACTTAGTATAAGAGTAAGCTCTCTTTTAGCGTTTTATATAGGTATCTAAAAAGGAGAATAAATCTATTTCTAAGTATTATTAAAATAGTTATAAGCTAGGTAGCTAAGAGCTATATAGTATAGCAGCGTTTATACGCTTATAAGTATATAAAGCTATTATAACTATATAACTCTATAGTTTTAAAGCCTATAATCTTAAAAAAAAAAGGAAAAAACTCCTTATGTTTTTTATAGATCTAAACTAAAAAGAATATAATAAAAAGCTTAAAAATCTGCTAAAAAATAAGTGAATTAAGCCTCTAATCTCTGTTAAGATAATAATAATATCTAAGCTAACTTCTCACCCCTTAAGGGAGGCTAGTAATCTAGCGTCTAAACGCTAAAAACGCTGAAAAATCTAGTAGGCCTACTAAACCTTATTCTAATACTAACTTAATAGAGCTAGTATTAATAAGACACTCTCTAGTAGTTAAAATAGTATTATTATTTTTAAAATATACTAGAGAATTAAGAAAATATATACTTTATTATTACTATAATAAATACTTATAGCTTAATTATACCTATAAGTAAACTAATAGTTACTTAAACTTATTACTAAATATTATAATACTTTATACTTATAATAATCTATTATAATAATTCCTCTTAATTTAGCTTTTCTTTTTTTTTATTACTTTATCTATATAAATAAAATATATTATAAACTTATATACTATAAATAACCCTCTTAAGGATATATCCTCTCTTTTCTCTATAAACTCCCCCCCTAAATATAAGCTTATTTATAGTAGCTTAGTTATTCTTTTTACTATAGATACTACTTTTATTAAATAGTAGTACTAAACTTAATATTATAAATAGAAAGTAGAAGATAATATTAAGAGCTTTTAGTCTTTATTTAGCCTTAATATATACCTAAAAAAAGCAAATAAGATCTTTAGTAAAAGTTATAAATAAGTAAATACTTAAGCTAACTTTTATAAAGAGGTAAAAGTTTAATATAGTATTCCCTATTTTATCTATAATATATATAATACTCTCTTTATTTATCTTAGTATAGCTAGCTTTAAAACTAACTTAATAAATAACTATTATAGTAAGCTAATATATATTAAAGTATAGTATAATACTCTAATATCTTTTAGATTATAATATAATAGAGAGATAATTTATTTATAAACTATAAAAACTATTTAAATTATTTATATTAACTATTATAATAATTATTATAATAATTATTATAATAATTATACCTTACTTTCTAGCTTATTAGAAAAAGAGATAAATCTATTTAACTAAATAAAGCACTTCTCTACTATCTTATTAATAGTAATATATCTTTTAATTCTATTTTAAAGTTAACCTTTAAGTTCTTTATTAACTTTATAAACTAAAAATAAATATTACTATCCTCTATAATAATTATTAAAAATCTTAAAACTAAGGCTTTAGCTATCTAAATAAAAGTTCTTAATAAGATTATCCTTAATTTAAAAATATCTCTAATAATTAATATATAGATAATACTAAGTTAGAAATATATATTACTTAATATTATAGTTTACTTTATAAATAAAAACTAAAAATATTATTATATTCTTCTTAATATACTTAGTATTATAAAAAACTATACTATAGAGAATTTAGCTAGTATAATTATTAATACTCTCTAAAAGCTCTTAATAAAGAATATATTTAAATTTAATTATATTTCTATAGATAATACTTCTAACTTTAAACCTAAGATCTTATCTAAATTCTATAAGTTTATATTTAATAAAGTACTATTAATAGTTATTTATATTTAATATTTTACTTATATTATTAACTTTATAGTTTAAAAACTATATAACTACTTTAAAATTACCTATATACTTATAATTAATAATCTTGTATAATATATATTATATACTAATAATAAAGAAATTACTAAAAATATTATACTACTATAATAAACCTTAATAAAGTAGTAAGCTATTTTTATTTTATAATATAATAATCTTAAAGATTAATTAGATAATAAAACTCTTACTAATTAATATCTAAATAAGATATTAAACTTAGAAAGCTAAATTAAAGTAAGAAGTATTTTAATACTTATAATAGTAATTACTAAAATATACTACTCTATTTCTTACTTTCTACTCTTATTATTACTTATCCTCTTTTAGATTTAATACTTTATACTTAAAATTAAAGCTAATTTAATATAATCTATATAATTCCTAAACTTTTAGAAGAATAATAAAAATAAAAACCTCTAAAAATACCTTAAACGTCTAATTATTAATATAAAGATATACTAAAACTTAACTACTTTAATATTAATCTATATTTTTAAATTTTAAGCTCTAATTAAAACTTAATTTTAAAATTATATTAATAATTACTTATTTAAACTAAATAAAACTAAATAGTATTAAATTTAAGTAGTTCTTAATATTTCTATATACTTCCTTATTATTATATATATTTTAAGTTAAAACTAAGCTATTAATATTACTTATATAATAACTCTTATAAAAATCTATAATAATTATTTAATAAAATACTTAGAAGCTATTAAGAAACTTAATAATAATAAGAATTTACTTTAAGTTCTAGCTCTTCTAGAAGTAGTAAAAGTAGTAATTATAAAACTAAGGAAATATTAATTATTATAAGAGTAGTAGTAGTTCCTTTATATATCCTTAATATTCCTCTCTCTTATATTAATACTAAATATATTAAATAATAATTTAAGATTTTATAGTATTTAAAAAGCTTATTCTAGCTTATTAAAAGAAGCTATTAGAGTAAAGTTTACTTAGATCTATATTTAAAACTATTATAAGGATATTCTATAAAACTTAAAAGCTAATTTAGATAATACTTATAGATCTATTTATAATCTAATAGCTTTAATACTCTAAAGCCTTAAGAAATATATATATTATTATACCTCTTATATTATTATAATAACCTATTATAATAATCCTTATTATAATAATCTATTATAATAATTAATATAATAATCTTATTATACTTACTATATTAATATACTTCTTTAGAAGTAAATAGAATTTTTATTTTAGAATAGATATAATATTATTTATAATTTCTTAATAAAATATAAATATTATATTACTTTGTTTTCTAAAAATACTATTAAATCTATATAAAGCTTATCTATTAAGTAATTAATCTAAAACTTCTAAAAAAAGCTAAAAGTAGATCTAAAATATTATAATCTCTATAATATAACTTATAACTATCTTTATATTATCTTAAGTTTTATCCCCTTTAAATAAGTATTTAGCTTTAGCTAATATATTTATTACTATATATACTTTAATATAAAACCTAAAATAATTTTCTATTAACTCTTTTTTATAATTTATAATAAGTATTAAAATTAACTCTTATTCTCTTATTTAAAGCTTATTATTTCTAAAGACTTTATACTTTATAAACTAAATAAAAATTAAAGTATATTAATTTATTAAATATTTAAATATAAAGTTCTTAATATTAAGGATTTTTATATTATTATTTATAAACTTATTATTAAGTATATTTAAAATATTATTAACACTTTAAGTAATTATAATAATACTTAAAACTTAATAAAATTAAGGTTTTTAGATTTAAAACTTATTAAACTATTTAGCTAAATCTTAAGTTTTATAAATAAACTAAATTAAACTTCTTAGATATTATTATTTAACTTATAAATATTATAATAAAATTTATAAATTTATAGAAGTTTTTTATTATTATTAAATTAGAGAAATAGTTAAATAATAAAAAAGTAATTAAATAGCTAAAAAATTATAGAAGAAATAGATTATAGTAATTTCTTATTATTAGAAATTAATAATATACTATAATAATATAATTTATTTCTTATATAGTTTTAATATTTTAATTTAGATTTTAACTCCTCTCTAAACTTCTCTTAGTATATTATATTTATAAAATAAACTATTATTTAAAACCTAAATTATAATCTCTACTCTATTTATATACCTAATACTTAGATAAGAAAGCTTTATTTATTACCTATACTTACTTAGTACTTACCTAAATACCCCTCTGTACCTATAAACTATATAGGTATATACCTATATAGATATCTATAGATAGTTCGAAGCCTAGCCTTCACTAGGACTTTAATCTTCCCATCTTCAACGACCTAGATAAGCTCATCCCACGGACACGCCCTAAAATCATCCGGCCCACCACCGTACACCGAAAGCCGGACACGGTTTGGAAGGAACTCGAACGGGGAGAACTGAGTCAGCTCCCACTCGCCGCCCTGAATACCTGCCATGCACACCGTTCCCATCTCCACGGCGCACCGAGCACTATCTCGTAAAGTCGTTGTGCCAACAAGCTCCAGAATCTTGTCGAACTTGCCTGCACTGCTCGCCGAAACATCTGCCTCGATGCTTCCGCTATCAACGTAGACTTCATCCGCGCCGTGATCCTTGAGCATGCTGGACCTCGCCTCGCTTCTCGTCGTGCCACCGATGCGAGATGCCCCCAGGTACCGCGCCATCTGAATTGCGCAGATACCAATTGAGCTTGTCGCGCCTCTGACCAGCAGACTCTCACCACGTTTGAAATCCAGCCCTTTCACTAGGGCGCCCCAAGTAGTCTGGAACATCTCGGGCAGAGATGCGAGGGTGGCGACCGGAAGGCTGGTCTGGGGGAATGGGCGAACGTTCTCGGCGGGCACGCAGACATACTCGGCGTAAGAGCCGGGAATTTCGCGGCCGAGACCGCCCATGCAGGTTGCGACGCGGGTCCCGACCGGAAGACCGGCGGTGCCGGGGGCAGGGGCGTGATGGGCGGCGATGGTTCCGATGCACTCGATGCCGATAATTCGGGGAAATTGGACTCCGGGAGAATGACCCTGGCGTGTGAACATCTCTAGAAACTCGTTAGACTCCTGCAACTCAGGTCGGAATTGTGATTCGATCTGACCAGCCCTGTTGATGCCGAATCCGAGGATTTTGATCAAAACTTGTCCGGACTGAGGAACGGGGACTGCTGTTTGTTGAATCTGCAGCACGGAGATTGGGCCAGTCGTAGGACAGATCACCGCCCTCATAACCTTTGGGACGTGCATGATTTTTAAGGTGTATTGGATCAAAGGAGCCGATTGTAGCAATGCTCGTTGTAAACGAAGTGCACTTACTTCAACGCCTGAAGCTCTGCCTCTTTTATCGTTACGAGCAATGTTAGTCACAGTGACGCAGCTGTTTTTTGAGAACTACTTGCTTACATGGAAAGCGGTGCGGGGGTGTTTTGGTTCCGGGCGGGATTACAAGCAATCGGCTTTGACCAATCTCGTTCTCGTTCTCGGGTTTAGAATACCATCTACCTCCGATCCCGATTATTCAAGTTCAATGATCAAGTAAATCAGAACGAATTGGTAATCAAATGCCGTTCATTGCGTTAGGATAGTACTTGGCTCGGACTTGCTCTCGGAATCCCTCTCGGCAGAAGCAGCAGGAGAACTCACGCTGCCTCCGCTGCACATACAAGCCCCGCCCTGCCGTTAACGGCAGGGTGGATCCAGTGCCCGGTGCGGCCGGGCACGCTGGGGCCGGATAATCGGGTCCTGTCCTTCTGAGTGTCAGCCGGCTTACCCCGCCTAAAGCCGAACATCTTCAAGTGCGCTGAAGCACACTCCTGTCACGAAAATGCCGCAAAATGAGCACATGGAACGGTGGAGGAAGCGGCATGGAAAGCGTTATGTTTATCTCACTTCCAAGTTTCACCCAGGCTGATGCTAAATGTTCACCTCCGTCACAGACTCGTTACCGAGAAGCGAGCAAGAAAGCGCCTGGCCCGGGCTGGCCACAAGCAATCCCACGACATCCAGAGCCTGCGCGGCATCCACGCAATGATGATGCAGGAGAAGCGCCGCGTTGGGAAGATCCAGATGCGCAAGTAGATCAAAGCTGTCGAGGAGCGAAATGTCAAGACCGCCGACGACAGCCTCCCCTCCGACCCGGTCCTGCACTACCTCCTGGACCGAAACGAACCAAGCGCCACCAAAGCCCTAGCGTCGTCCATCAAGCAAAGGCGTAATGAGAAGGCTGCCCGTTTAAACGTTACCCTACCCGAGGTTCGCGGCATCTCTGAGGATGAGATGTTCAAGGTCGTCACTACGGGAAAGAAGACGCACCAGAGGAGCTGGAAGCGCATTGTCACCAAGCCTATATTCGTTGGCGAAGGATTCACCAGGCAGAACCCGAAGGCAGAGAGGTTTATTAGATTTGTTGACACATCTTCCGCCGAGGGGTATCGGAAGACTGACGTTGCCTTTATACTCTAGACCGATGGGACTTCGTCAGAAGTTCGCCCATGTCAGCCATCCTACTTTAGGCGCCACATTGAAGGCCCCGATCTTATCCGTCAAGAAGAACCCACAGAACCCGACGTGCACTCGCCTTGGAGCTTGAAGCGTCGCGCCGTTGTGGAGGTGAACGCCAGCGAGCTTGGATTGACAACGACTTCGGGCAAAGCTGTTTGGGGAAGGTATGCTCAGACCACGGACAATCCAGAGGGCGAGGGCGGTTAATGCGTAAGATGCCTTATTTCCCTTCTACAGATCAGATTCTAACGTGCTCAGCATCCTCCTGGTCTGACTTTAGCACGGAGTGCTCACGATATTCGTCTACATTGTGTCTGAATTGCGTCGGAAATGGTTTCAGAAACAAGGTTTATAGGGTACTGGGGAAAGGACTTCAAGTCCTAAAAATGAAGAATGCTTGAAATAACAGCATACCTACACAAAAGGCTACTGGCCAGATGATAGGCCAAAGGACGGGATCCAGATAATGAACAAGATACCAAACTGAACCAGAAGCATGTACTGGAAAGTCTCCAGCCCTGCCACTTGCGTGATGGCTCCCAGCATATACGGAAGCAACGCGCCGCCAACCTGCCCCAGCGACGCGACAAATGAGACGGCAGCGACATGCAGCTCCTTGGGCAACAGATTGACCAACTGAACGATGGCCGAGGGGAACAGAGGCCCCATCACGAACCCAAGCAGAGCCATAACGACGACCGAGAACCACAACACCCGAACGAAAATGAACAGCAAAGTGAACACTGGGGCGAAGATGAGGTAAAAGACGACGGCTCGTTTGACCCCCAGTTTGTCGGTCACCACGCCCAGCATCAGCCGCCCCGCTGCCATACCGGCCCAGAACGCAGACGAGCAGATGCTCGATGCATAGGTGCTCGCGTGCCGGACGCGAAGCATGAAGGCTACGATCCAGCCGGAGATGGTGCATTCGGCTCCGACATATATCAGCAGGTATCCCGCATATACCCACGTTGCCTTGTATTTGAAGATAGCTCCTTTGGAGGCAGGGTCGCTTGCGATCTCTTGGTATAGCTTGCTTTTGTGGTATCTCTCTGCGTCCTCGTTTCTGAACGCCCAGCAGAGGATGCAAGATTCGATAGCAGCTGCTGCGGTCTGGGATCTCTGTTAGCACACCAATTCACTTGCAAGATTCGCTCGAGGACCTACCAGGACGTAGTACCAGCGATACCACAATCCGCCGTCTTCCGAGAGCATCAAGCCCACCAGGTAGGGACAAATAGCGGCTCCCGTAGAGAACGAACCATGCAGCAGCCCTGACAAGGTATTCGCATTATCCAAAGCGGCAAACCAAGCACACCAAGACCCATCCACAAGTCCAACTCCAAATGCCCCGGCAGCCGCACCCATCAGGAACACCGGGAACGGAGGACGTGCGGCAGCCACAGTCGCATAGAGCAGATGGCACAGCGGACCGATGACAGCAATGCCTCGTTGTCCGAACTTGGCGTGAATCGAATCATTGAGATAAGACGCAATAACGTAGCCAATAGGCCCGACGAGGAAGAGCGCTGAAACTTGGATGTCCGTGAGTTGATAGGATTCCTCCAGATGGGGGATGACGGCGCCTGTCGTTGACGTGAACAATCCAACCACCGCAAAAGACCATGCTGCTGCCGCGATTCGTAGGGTCGCGCTTTCTTCAGGAAGCTCGTCCGTCGATGTTTGCGAGCCGCGGTCACTACCCAGGAGCCCATCTTCAGCGAGATGCGCCTGTGTCGCTGGCTCAAGCAAAGGCTCCGTCTCCCCCGTGCGAGACGATGTCGGTCGAAGCGGCTTCGATGTCATGTTGAGGCTGGTTTCGCAATCTTGATACTGTTTCCATACTTCAATTGGAACGGGTTCGAAGTGTGTTGTGTGTGTTCAGAAAGCACAACCTGTACTGTAAGTCGAGTTGTTGTTGGAGAAGGTTGGGGGCTGCAGGGATCAGGTGACGTCTGTCCGCGGCAACTTTAGCCCAATTGGGCAGTAGTTGCAGCTTGTCTTGCTCGATTGGGAGAATGTTTCAGCGGCTTCAGGGGTTCCGGGTGTGCTAGAACATCTCCAAATGGAGTAATTCGCAGCCAAGGCAACTACATTGACCTTCAGAGCTAGGTCTCTAGTGTTAAGTATGCACCAATACCGATGACCCGAGTTGGTTCAACGCCGCGTTCGGCGCCGGAGGCTGGGTCAGTCCGGCCGGGGCCAGGTTGCCGCACCCGAGATCCGGGGCTACGGGATGGTCCATTTTCGGCGCCTTCGGAAATCCCACCAAGACCATCAAACGCGCAAGACAACGCGGTGAACGTTGGCGCTCCTGCTCGCATCTGGACGATGATATTGGTGGGCTTCTTGCCTGACGTTCAATGGCGGGACGGATTCCGTGGCGAGAATAGTTCTCAATTGTGAATTTCTCAAGAGATGCTCATTCTAGCAGCTGCAGTTTTGTACAATACCGCAGTTAAGTAGACAAATATGCATGCAGTGACGAGTATGAAGCCTACGCTTCACGCTCTTTCAACTAACCCAGAAGTCGACTTTTACGGCATCCAATGTGACGTGCATGCAGAACACCTAGCTTCAGTCACGTAAGGCTTGTTTCATCCCCTCGAAAGGCCAAAATATTCCCGACTGGTCTCGTATGAAGAGGCGTGGCCGCCTCTTCCAACAATCGGGAGGTCAGGGCTAGCGACTCTGCCCGGCGATGAAGGCGAGGAAAGGGTGTAGTCTACATCGGCAAGTCCACCCTATCATCTGCTCCTCGTTCACGAGCCTTCTCCCTCTCAAAATCGAATGGCCCGTCGGGAAGGAAGTGCTCGTAGAGGGATCTTACCCCGTAGTGGGAAGAAATCAACACTGACTTTCCCAGCATTTCAAAAGCAATCTTGTCCCAGTTGAGTGGCGGTGTTTCTTCCTCCTCGTCGTCTTCGTCGTCGTCGTCGTCGTCCTGATCGCGAGGCCGCCAGCTAACCAGCAACCCTCTGCCGTACGCGCTGCTTTGAGCCCTCTACGCCCTATTTCGATCCGGGTTCCTTTGCTCGATTGGAAGAGTGTGTGTCCAGGCGAGCGTCTCCTGCCAACGGGTGGGCCCAGGAGGGTTCTTAGGGTCATCCTCGAGCCTATCAACAACAACAATGTGACGAGTGAAGTCGGCGTCGCTTAGCCCTTCCGGGAGGTACCATGAAACCGCCTCCGCCCTATCCGCAATAGCCAGGCGATTCTGGACCTCCCGCTCGTGATGGTAAATGCAAGCGGCGGCGTGCTGCAGACAGTGTGCGTGCTGGGGATCTCGCGACGCTTGTGCGGCGAGACGGGCATACCAGGGGCTTTCTGGTGAGAGAACGAGGTCAAGCCCCAGACTCTCGGCGAAATACGGGCTACCCGACTCGGGCAGAGGCGGGAGGGGCATAGCAAAGACCTCGACTCTGTCCAGCAGCCCGCAAGAGCTGCGGTTGTCGTTGGTGCCGTCGAATATGGAGCGGGCTAGATCCTCGGCACGTCCCGGATTAAGCGCGCCGGGGGAAGTGTCGTAAAAGACGTAGGCGTACGCCGGGCGCAGGGGCGTCAGGTCGATATCCTCCAAGGTGTCTGCGGGGACTGAGTATGCCACGAAGGCCGGGACACCGTCATGACTGGGTGCCGGATGGACGATGGTCTTCGGGAGCGGCAACAGCTTCTTGCGACGCGCCGGTCTGTCAAGCTGTTGTGACTGCGGCTGCTCCTCGTCCTCCCGGTCGTCTTTGGTTTCTGGCGTGGGTGACAATGACACGAAGCCAAGTCTACGGCAACCGAAACACATTGTCTCGAGTTTGTTGGGCCGTGTAAGCAGGCCGTAAAACCTAGTCGATGGGCCGTAGTTGAGAAGAAACCATTAGAAAACACGTCGGTGTGTATGTGTGTGTGTGTGTATTGGGGGTAGAAATTTGTGCTTGCTGAAGGATGCTGACTAATATATGAAGATATTCCACTTTCTGAACTATTTCCGATTCTATCCTGCTAAATAGAAAGGAACTTCATTAAGTATCTTCGAGGTTATAATATTGCTAGAGAACAAACACAAAATTTCAGAGCTTCACCTCGATGTCATTCTGAGCGCCGCCAACTCCCTTCCACGTCCTCCGCAATCCATTCTCCGAGTCTCCAAACACCGGGTCGAGCTTTGGCTTCGGCACGCCCCAGACCTTCTCGAAGTCGCCTCCCCCGAGCACGAAATCCCACTCTCCTCCGCTGTAAGCACCCATCATCGTGTACCCCGAAAGCTCAACCTTCCCCAGCGCCTCTCGCGGATTGTCGGCTTCGATGCCGTGTCCCTTCCCAGGACTCAGCAGCCCAAACGGCGCCTCTGGCCTCGTGTTGTATGTCTTGTGCGCCACTCCCGCGGGGATGATGAAGACGTCGCCAGCTTCTGCCTGAAGCTCCACGCCGCCCTTCTCCCAGGACGACTCGTACGTGTTCTTGTCCAGGTCCTCGTCGGTATCTGCCACGCCGAAGCGAATCGTGGCGTTTCCAGACAGAACGGCCATGCACTCGTGGGCCTTGGAGTGGAAGTGCGAGAGCTGGGTCTGGCCGTATCGGAAGATCCATTGGACGTCCCATCCGTTGGTCGTGAACCTATCCCATACTTGCAGGGCGGAGCAATGTGACGTCTTGGGGTCCTTGGGAAGGACGTTCTTGTACTGCAGCAGCGGTCGAGGCGAGTTCGGAACCAGGTCCGTTGGGAAGAGATGGTATTGTCTGATTTCAACCATTTTGTTCGTGTCTCTGATGTGCTGATTATGAGTGTTGATCTAAAGCTGTAGCTTCAAAATTGTATTCAAAAATGAAGTTGGGTGTAAGCCATCGTCAACGGTCTTATCGGGTTGATATATCACGGTTGGAGAATCGGCAGGTCAGCCGAGGACCGGCGAATCGGGTATCGCATCCGATCCGGAATTCCACCTCCGTTTCGCAAGTTCGTCATCGCGACCCCGCACGCTCCTATCGCCCCCCGGATGCGGAGTCCGGTCCGGATTGCTCCCATTTCCTTTTCTGCTTTTGGCATATCACCACGGCGGATTCCTTGGCGGACTTGCCAAGATAACGTCTTTATCACGATTATTGTTCATGGCATTGGCGTGCACAAGGTGGCCCACGACTTGCCGCAAGAGAGCATCACGATTTACGTATTTACCTTCCTACCCCTGCGACATGGGAAACGACAGGAGCGAATTCAAGGAGTGCAAGTCAGAATAGCATATTTCACGATGATTATGATTGATACATTGAACCCCTGTCTATTTTTGCAGCTAGGTTTTGTGCAATTCTTCAGTAAGTCTTTGACTAAACCCAATCATAAAAATTATTCGTTGGAAAGAAGTGTCCTTTCAGGAAGCTTCTGACTCCAATGACGCATCAGTCGCCATCGAAAATTTGATGGGGCAGTTATGTTCCTTGACTCCAGTCAGCGTTATAAGCACCGCAAGCTCATACCTCGTGATCGTACCATGACTTTGGTGAACTGGTCGTCAAAGAACAATTCAAACCGAGACGTAATTCCAGGACTGAAATCGTTGAATTCGGGGGAAACCGAGGTCGTGTACGTGCGGTATATTGCAGCTACTAAGGTCGTCATTTCGGCCATTGCGAGACTGTTGCCAGGTTAGCTTTCTACAAAAGCCGACTGAGGATTACTGCCATCATGGAGAAGAGAGCGTGCAGAAATCGATTGGACGACAGAGTCAATGTGCGCCGAAGGGGAAAGGGGGAAACATACTGCAAGCCGATACACATCCGGCCGCCGCTGGAGAAAGCCCAAAACCAGCGGTTCATCTCTGCCGCTTTAGGTCCAAGCCATCGATCGGGATTGAATCTCAGAGGCTGTTCAAATACTTCCGGGTTGCGGTGAAGACTATAGGGCGACATGCTGACGGTGACATGCGCCGGAATCTTGTAGCCGTCGATATCTGACTCGGTGTCTAGTGATCGAGGCTCAGAAGCGGGTAAAGGAGCGTACAATCTCAGAGTCTCTTTGATGATGGCGTTGAGGTACTGGCATTTGTCGCTCGCCTCGGCGCTTGGCAACCCGTGCTCATTGAGGGAGTCCGGGGATAAGTTAAGGACTTCATTTCTCAGCTTATTCTGGAATACGCGATTCTCTTTGCGTGATAGTGCCCAAATGAGGTACATGAGCGTGTCACTTGTGGTGTCGATGCCAGCCAGAAAGTGATCCGCGCACTCTGAGGCTATGTCGAGGTCGTCCATCGTGCCAAGCTTGCGTTGAAGCGCCAGACGGTCGACTATTGAGCGTGGCGTATCATCCTCTGCGGTACAGATGAGTCTCGAGACTAACGTTAGGTGGATTTTCTGCTGCTCGACGTACCGTTTTTGGCATCGGGGTCATTGCCGACTGCATTGGCTTCCTTCCTCGATTGCTCATAAGCTTCCAAAGCAAACTTTCGGATGCCAGTGTAAGTGGCTGGCTTCGCCATGGGAAGAATTGGCGCAATTATACGCTCCATCGTATGCGTCCGAGTGTACAGCCATTTTGTTAGCAATGGAAGGTGTATCGCGAACCAAGACAGCCGTCGCCGGGCTGGAATGAGGATATCCTCAAGTAAGGCCTGGTCCATCTTCGAGCCTTGCAAGGCAGATGTCGAGCCATGCTTTCCATATATAAATGCCGTGATACTGTCCAGCGAGTAGTAGTGCAGAGTTCTGAATGTTTCGCTGGTGAGGCGAGGTTCCTGCGCAACCAGAGACATGTATTGTCTTGTTTTCTCTTCTATCATGGCGGAAACTGGAGCTTTGAGGATGTTGGTCTTTGAATAAACATGAGCAAGAAGTCTCTTGCGCTCTCCGTGTTTTTGAGTCGAGTGAAAAGTGAACAGATTCTGTCGGCCGTAGACATCAAACATCCGATAGAAGGAAGTCCTGCCATACCTGCTTCCGGGTCCGTAGATGGTCCGGAGAGCGCTCAAACTATTGAAAGAAACTTCATCAGGTCCGATTCGGACAGCTGGACCGTATTTCTGATGCAACCGATGGATCGTGCGCGTTCGGGTTCCCCTCCAGTCTTCGTAGGCTAGTCGCCATTTCGTCAGCGCGAACGATTTCGACCCCGGTACATGCCTCAAGGGACTCAGCAGAAGTGAGTCAAAGACGAGGTATTTGGCCAAGAAAGCCGCAAGTATGGCCAAAGCCACGATGACGGAAACCGATGCCATCACCAATCGCTCGTTCCGTGCTGTGTGAGGCTTATCACGTTCAGTTGAGGAGTTGTGCCAATCGGGGACCAAACTTACGTAGTACCCCAACTCGTTATCGGAGCATGTGGTAAGTCCGATGCCGCGTGCATCTACACTCCGTTGCGTTGACAGCGTCCACCCCGCAGTTCTAAGCCTGAAAAAGGCAAAAAAAGGGGTTTTTTACTAAAAAACTACTAAATCGCCCTAAACTTTATATACTAATACCTCTATACGTACGTAATGCGTGAGAATAAAAAAGATATCGTTATAATTACTTAATTAAAGGCTATTAATTAATATATTTTTAATTTATACGTATTATATATATATATAGAGTTATCTAAATATATAGTTAAAGCTAATTTTAAGGGGTTTTTTAAGTAGATAGTTTAATATAACGCGCTAAGGGTTTTATTTTTTCTTTTTAGTATTACGTTTAGTATTTACTAGCTTAAAAACCCCTAAAATTAACCTTAGCTTTATATACTAATAACTCTATATATACGTAGTATATAAAAATAAAAAAGATATTATTATAATTACTTAATTAAGGGCTATTAATTAATATAATTTTTATTTATACGTATTATGTACGTATAGAGCTATTAAAGTGTGAAGTTTAGGGGGTTTTAAGGGGTTTCTAGGCTAGCGGAAAATTTCCCTTCTGGGTTAAACTTGGGGGTGGATGCTGTTAATGCAACGGAGTGTAGCATAGGTATCATGGAGCGTCGTTATCTAGATGACTATTAGTCAGAATTTGAGATTACCAACACTTCTTGTCGATTACGACGCGACAATTTAGAGATGTAAACAGCTGTACCACGACTAGCTTCGATCCCCATGGGCAGGGGCTCTACAAGGTCTCGCTCTCCCGTCCCCAGGATAACAAAACCGACTCTGCTGTCAATGTGCAAAATCAAATTTTCTTCGAGCTGTCTGGAATGCACCGATTCATATGTGTTTGCTTGTTGTTGGCGACAGCACAAAGCTCGCCTAGCTCCCAATCTATGATCTGGAATTCTTCAACAAATTGACGAGTTTTACTTGCTGGTAAGCTTCTATGTAAGTCTTAGTTATCTTTTTGTTTTCTACTCTGAACGCCTGATTTTCATGTCGTTCACTTCTTGGCGATTGAGCTTTTGCGGCTGATGGGTCGTGATGATCACCAACGAAGGCATCGCATGGTGATGGTGGAGTGCAACACCTATGAGTGGACCTCAAAGGGGCAAGGGCATCGCGGAGGCCCCTCAAAGCTCCAGTATTTATTTGTGAGGGTAGTGTACATGTAAGCCGATAATCCGCAAAGTCTCTTGTAGCCAATTCTGCCGACGTGTCGCACGAATTCCCTTCACGGGAGTTTCCATCGCGCAGCCTAGTGCTTATCGCGCGCCATTCTGAGTTACATCGAAATGCATGTCCCGTATTTCCGTCGGGTCCGGCCCGTTTACGACGGCCCTGTTCTGTTCATCTGGCCATTCTGTTGGCAGCGCAAAGCCCACCATATCCACAGCCAAATGGACTTTTGTCACTTAGCCGCAGAGAACCAACATGGACCCCTACATGTTCATGCTGATGATCATCAACAGCTCGGACTTTGGTCCCTAAAGGGAAACAGGAAACTTCAATCTGATTTGCACGATACGTCTCAGTCCAGGCCCCTTGGGCAAGTCCCAGTTCTCACACGTGTACAGGCGCGACGACATACAAAATGGGCCGAGCCCCCCGCAACAGGTTCGGAGGGTGCCTTTGTCTTTGAGATTCCATGACCATATCATCCCCGACCCGACTAGAAAATTCCCACCATGTCTAACCCCGGCAAACGAAAAATCCTCATCTTCTCGGACTGCGACTTCGGGCAAGCCAATGTCGTCCTTTCAACCATTTACGCATTGGTCTGCGCCGACCCCAACGTAGAGATCCATGTCGCCTCACAGCCGGGCATGCAAGGCCAGCTTTCCCGCATCATCAAGCAGGTATCCAATGATCTTGGATCTGCAGCTGCAGGATCTATCAAGGCCCATAACTTGGTCGGGCTATCTCACTGGGAAGCCATGGAGAGACCTGGTAACCCCAATCTCGACTCTTGGGCGTGCGATCCGACAATCCCCAACATGGTCAGCATGCTGTCTGTCCTTCCGGGAATAACTCTCCCGTGGAGCGCAGAGGAGTTTGTCGAAATCTACCGGGACGTGGAGCGTGTATGGGGCGAGATTCAGCCAGACGTAACGGTCGTTGAAAACTTCTTCGCCCCTGCCCTTACATTCTGCCATAACCTCCGCCCGAAAACACCGTGGATCGTCCTGGCTCCGAACACTATCAAGGAATTTGCTCTATCTGCGCAACCGGGATTGCCCAGTCTTTGGAAATATCCCATGTAAGTCTACGGAAATCACGCCTCGTAGACGGATGCTGTCGTTCGAGTAATCATTTGGCTAACATGGCCCAGCTTCAACTCCGCCATTTCTTATCCGGTGCCTCTTCACCAGATCCCGCTAAACATATTCTATAACATAGTCGCGATGATCGCCATATTCACGAGTAGGAGACGGGGGCGTTGCATAAACCACATGAACGAACAGCTGGGTCAAGGGCTTCAACTCATCACTGTCAACGAACTTGGTCTTCTCGCTCCGCCGCCACCAGGGATTCGGGTGATGGTCGCAAACAGCCCGGACATCGACTTTCCATTTGACGTCATTCCGGATTTCATGGTCCCCTGCGGTCCAATTACAAGACCTGCAGCGCCTATCTCGACCGAAGATCCGGAACTCGCACTTTGGCTCGGTCGCGGCCCGACAGTTTACATGAATCTAGGAACACATCGTTCGTTTGATGTTGATAAAGCAAGAGAGGTGGCCTACGCTTTCCGCAGTTTGTTCGACGCTGCAAAAACCTCCCATCTCAACAATTTGCAACTCATTTGGAAGATGCCTAGAGTGGCATCAGAGGGAGACACTTCCGGTTTTGAGGGCCCTTGGAAAGAAATCAAGGACATCCTCGAGTCTGAAATAGACCAAGACCGCGTCAGGATTGTGGATTGGGTTACTGCCGAGCCCAAGTCTCTGCTTCAATCTGGCCACGTTATCTGCTCTGTCAACCATGGAGGATCCAACTCTTTCCACGAAGCGATATGGTATGCGACCATCCACTGCTGATTTGATTGTCATCAGAGTTAACACGCATTCTTTTCATAGTTGCGGAATCCCTCAAGTTATCCTACCAGGATGGGCTGATTGTTACGATTTTGCTCTGCGCGCTGAATTCCTGGGCATCGGCAAGTGGGCGAGCCGCACCGCACGACCGTTGTGGAAGCGAGACGAGCTTGCCAAGGGCCTTGAAGAGGTTCTTTTAGGTCCTCAGGCAATGGACATGATCAAAAGAGCCCAAGAACTTGCGAAGCGACACCCGGAAGGCGCAGGCCGTGATCGTGCTGCAGAAGAAATTCTTAAACTATTAGATGGCAACAACACGAAAGGGGTGAATGGAAAGCATTAAATCTTGTTCCGATGGTGGGATGATAGATATAATTGTAGGTTCGACGCGCAACGCAGGTCTTTAAAGTCGCTGTCTCCATCAGCGTCAGTCGCTGTTATATCATCATGTTCATCATCGTAATCAACATCCTATCCACCATTATCACCACTGAGGTCTCCACATAAGCCATGTGAGATCTTGAGGTCTGTTGTTATGGCCTGCTGGAAAGCTAGGTGTTCTAGCAGATATTATCCCACTTGCTCTCGCCTTGTTCTCATCCGCAGCACAAGGCGGCTGTGCGGAACGGATAAGTCATGTTATAGATTGAGCAGATTGGCAACAGTCTTCCTTTGCTGTGGTTACCAACCTGGTTCCCTTTTCGAGGCAATGAGCAGTGAGGAGAAGGCTTTCAGGAACGCGAGGTTTCCCAGTCAGACATGAAGTGGGTAAATAAATGGGCTCGCCAATGGTTGTACATGCCAAATACCAGAGTATGTATTTAGAGTGTGTGCGATTTCTGTAGTATATATAACCTGGTCTGTAATTGTCTAATTTATCACCTATCAAGGAGTCTTGTGAAGGCCTAGGTGAAGCATGAGGATGAAGTCAAGTGAAATCAGGCTTTACAGCAACGGCACTATAAAAGATGTCATCAGTGACGTTCTTAGCACGGGAGATAGTACTTACAGCAACGTAGCCACGCTCTTCATTGGTGACCTTGACGCATTCACCCTGGACTTTCTCTGTGTTTCCGCAAACCTGCGATGGGCCCATGCTATTGCAAATGGCCAGAGGAGACTAAAACGAAAGTAGGTTAGCTTGAACTGAAGCTTTTACTTCCATAAGCTTTCTCTCGATTTCCACTTACGCAGTCCGCAGACCGATCCATGCACTGACTGGCAGCGAAGGGCGCGAGCAAGGCGGCCATAAAAGCGATGATGCTGAATTGACGCATAGTGAGATTTAATATGCTGTGGTGACGTAGAGAAAAATTGGTGAATGAGGCTTTCTGATGGAGTCTTGAAGTTGAAGGTGAGGCTAGTTTAGTGATGTTAACGGATATAGTCTGAGCCCGAAACGACCGACGGACCTAACTATGTTTATATAAATCGGGGATCCCAAACTTTGCAGCCTACAGACTGGAAGAAACATTGGCTCAAGTACTCTTGCCGTATTCATCTTGCTGGGCACCGTATTACAGGGTAGTAGTGTGGGTTATGGAATTTCCGCAATATCATCCCTAGGGAAGCCGGTGGAGGGTTTCCTTAATGGTGGGCAATCACTGTTTCCGGCCCTGCTAGTTAACAGCATTGCATGGTAATTGACTCGATGCGGCGGTGTATCTGTAACGGCGGTCAAATAATTAGCAAAAGAAAAGCCGGGGGAGCTTTACGGAGCCTTCGTTATATGGAAGGCTCCGTACGGACCGCGAGACTGCGTTGTATGGACAGCTCCGCAAGGGCCGCAATAACCTTTCAGACCGGTTTTTCTCGGTCTCGGTTCGTAATTGAAGTGCCAAGGAATCCCATAAGGTCGCAAAAAGGAGAGTGCTAACCCCAACACAAACACCGCCACTGTGGCCCAGCCGGGTCATCGTCAGGCCCGACTGATCCATTATGGAGAGAGAACAACCACGCACTCGCCGTATCCATCTTGTGTGAAACGAGAGCCTTGGTTTATCTAAGCTGTTCTTTAAGATACGATGTTATTTCAGGAGTTTATAGATAAGCAACGGCCCAGATAGGGTACGAGTGAATCATCCGATATCTAATTGGTGTTACAGGCCGAAAGAGATAAGCCCCCCGCACCCGATGCATCGGCATGCCCAACCGCTAGATCCCCTCACATCGGTGACGTCGGCCCCGTCTGATGTCCAAAAACACCCTAGCATAATCGATGAGTGCTATCGTCTCCGTAGGGAAAACAGCTCATAAAAACGAATCCAGAGTTTGAGGGTTGAAGCACGGATGACTGCTGGGAGCCTCAGCGAGACAGAACGATCACCATGTTTGCTTTAGACTCTACAACACTTTCCTTCGTATTGGACCTCCAGAGGCCTCCAACTCTGGCTTCTATCCTAACAACAATCGCAATCCTGCTATTATCTTATTTCGTTTACAATGTTCGTCCCTTTGCCTCCTTCTGTCTGAGTTTCCGTCGCCTGTTGAGGGGATCACTAACCATGACAGGCTGCCTTTAGTACGGATATACCCTTCATCAAGGGGCTCCCGGAGATGTCCGGCTCGATTCCGGTGTTCGGGCACCTTCTCAAGCTAGGCGAAGACCACGCGTCAACATGCGAAAACTGGTGGCGGCAAGGAAACCCCTCCGTATTCCAGATCAAACTCGGCAACACCAGGGCCGTAGTCTTCAACTCCTTCGAGGATATCTGCCAACTCCTCATCGGCCACCAGAACGCCGTTATTGATCGGCCAAAGTTATACACCTTTCACGGCCTCATCAGCTCTACCCAAGGCTTCACCATCGGCTCTTCCCCTTGGGATGACTCCTGCCGGAAGAAGCGCAAAACCGCGGGCACTGCCCTCAGTCGGCCGGCCCTTCGCAACTACTACCCCATGTTTGACCTCGAGAGCTACTGCATCCTTCGCGACCTGCACAAGGACTCCCGCAACGGCGAGCTGGAGATCAGTGTTCGACCGTACATCCAGCGCTACGCCCTCAACACGACCCTCACTCTCTGCTACGGCATCCGCATGGACGCCGTCTACGATGACCTCCTCCGCGAGATCTTGCATGTCGGCTCGGCCATCTCTCTGCTCCGCAGCGCGTCCGAGAACACGCAAGACTACGTTCCGATCATGCGCTACTTCCCCAACAATGAGAAAAGCCGCCGCTCCAAAGAGCTCCGCGAGCGTCGCGATGCGTATCTCAGCCATCTCCTCGACAAGGTCCGCTCCATGATCGAGCGCGGCACCGACAAGCCTTGCATCTCGGCTGCAATCCTCAAGAACGAGGAGACAAAGCTAACGGGCGTTGAGGTGTCCTCCATCTGCTTGTTGCTTGTGTCTGGTGGTTTTGAGACAATCCCCGGAACTCTGACGTCGACCATCGGATCGCTTTCGACGAAAGAGGGCCAATTGTGGCAGGACCGCACCTACGAGGATATCAAAAGACACTATCCAAACATACAAGACGCATGGAATGCCTGCTATACCGAGGAGAAGGTTCCGTACGTCAACGCCATCGTCAGGGAAGCCGGAAGGTACTACACCGTCAGCTCGATGAGTCTGCCGCGGAAGACTGTCACGGAGATTAACTGGAACGGCGCCGTCATTCCGCCCAAGACAATGATACTCGTCAACGCTCAAGCGGGCAATCATGGTTCGCTTGCCCCTTATCAGAATGCTGCATATCATCATACCATTCGTTGAATCTAACGGTAAACAAACACAGACAGAGATTACTTCGGTGAAGATGCCGGCAAATTCGATCCGGAGAGGTGGCTCTCCTCCATCAACCCGCCCTCTGAGAAAGATGTCTCTGGCGTCGGCCATCTAAGTTTTGGGCTTGGTTCTCGTGGTTGCTCAGGCCAGTATATCGCCCAGCGCTTGTTATACGCCGCTTTGGTCCGCCTGATGTCCTCCTACAAGATTGTGGCGAGCGAGGAAGAGCCTCCCAACACCGACTACGTCGAGTACAACCAGTTCAAAACGGCGCTCGTGGCGATCCCCAAGGACTTTAAGGTCAAGCTCATCCCCCGAGACACAGCCGTTACCGAGGAATGTCTCAAAGCCGCTGAGAAAAGGACCAAGGAGCATTACGTAGAGTAAAGTCATCTAGTCGGTTTGCGCATGCGGTAATACTCTGATTCGGATGACAACATATCAGGAGAGCAGGTGTGAAGGATTATGTTCAAGCAGTCAGCATGAGAAGGGGGCAAAGGGATCTAGAGCACCAGCCGCATTTTCGAAATGGCATCAGCATCCAGAATGAGATAATGAACTACCCTTCAAGATATTTAATTTTTACTTAATGCCCAGTACGATATGAATTCCTCAGTTCCTCTCCTTCGCATAAGCTCCATCAGGGTACCTCACCGGCTCCTGAACCTCCCCCGGGACCACCTCTTCCAGCTCTAGCTCCAGCTCGCTCTCATCCGCTTCCATCCTCGTCGACTGGAAAGAAAACACAAAATCATTTTTCTCCTCCGTGCTCACAACACTCGCCAGTTCTGTAGCGTACATTTTCTCTGCAGCTTCTTCGTCAATCGCAGTTATTGCGTTTTCTTTGCTGTCAGCTGACTCTGGATCCTGAGCCTTCCGCCGTACCGCACCTAAACCTCTCCTGGGTGCCACGCCTCCACGGGCTGTGCCGTTTTGACCGAATAACTTGGACCAGCGGTATTTGAAGAAGATTCGAATCGCAGGAAGACATACGACGATGACCGATACTGATGCTTCGATGCCAGACCAAATCAGGGGATCCGTAAAGTCCCAGGTAGGGTTAAGTGAATGCGTGAATGGGGCAAGGTAGTGAAGCCGGATACAGGCAGTGATAAGAATGAATAACCCGAGACTGAACATAAGCGAAATGCCGACTTTTGAGCGTTTGGAGGTATTCAATCCCCACAGCAGCGGAAGAGGCAAGACGAGAATAATAAGATCGTGGCTGATGCTAAGGCCCCCTGCAATATTGACCAGTCTGTGGAGATCCAGGCAATGATATGTGCCGAAGTCTCTTTTCCAACCATCCCAGTTGAAACTAATCGGTGTGCACTGGAAAATTTGCAAAAACAGGATCACCGTCATTGATATAACGATATATGTGATGGTCGCGTAAGTTGCCCTTCGAAAGGACTTGTTTGGAAATATCCTGAGGTAAAAAATGAGCACTGATATCTTGGTCAAAGTTATGGTGGCTAGGTAAAGGGGTTCGTCGATGAAGAAGAGCTGTAAACGTCAACATGATGTCCAGTTTGAGGCGGTAAGTCTCCATACCTTCAACCCCAGCGTGAGCTTATCTGGTTCAACCATCCATATGTCTTCTCCAAAAGCTAACGCTCCAGCTGGGTTATTGTCAGTAAGGACCTGGAATGGTGAGACCATGGGACATACCAATTTGACCAATGACGACTAAGACGATGGAAATGACCTAGGACTAATCAGCGGATGAGCTGCTGAAAAGTTTCTCAAGATTGGACGCACACCGCACACTATCATGATCCAGTCGTCGGCTTCGAGTCGAGGCATCATCGTCCATCTCGCGTATAATCGCAACAGGACCGCCAGGATCCCAGTCATCTGAAGGACAAGTGGTACCATAATGTCTGCTTTTCGGGTACGAATAGGCCGTCCGCATGCCTTCGCTTCTATCTTTGCAACGTCTAGGAAGTTGTTAGTTGTAGTTGTGAACAATTGGTGGGTGACCAACCTATAGCATCTACTGTGTCGCAACGCTGAAGAAGACACGTCTGCATACTCTCCCGCAGATCATCGTCACTACATATGCAGTTTTCATTCGTCGCGACCTTACAAGCCGATAGCGGTAGCTCTTCCAGGATACAGTCTAGCTGTGTACAGATAACGATATTAGCACCATCTCATGAGGTTGAGCCATGGCAAAACCCACCCCACACTGTGGCAAAACGCCTGCGTACTCTATTAGCGATCCCTGGGCAGCCACCCAGGAAGTGGCCATAAGGCTGAGCCATAGCAAATACCTCATCGCAAGCGATACTGCCGCTGCTGTTATCCCTGATGATAATCGTAGTGATGTGGGAGAGAGTGAAAGGGAAGAAACAAGAGAAAAGCAAGAAGTCGCTGGCCGTGGCCTGGATAAATCACCCTCGAACGGCTAGTAATAATAAGAGGCATGCGAAGATTATGATAGCGGCAAAACTTAAGTTGGTTACTGGTGCTATCAATCTTAGTGCGCGAGCACATCGTCCCCTTTTGGTTCCCAGGACGCGGGACCCGTAATTATCCCCTACACTAAAACAGCTCGGCTGGGGGGTCGATTATCGAGTCAGAGAAGAAGATGTCGAAACAAAAAGCTAACACAGAATAAGACCGAGAGTCTCTCTCTGACATGCACTTTCAAGCGACTCAGGTGTGAGCACGGTTGTTGTGGTGAAGGAAACCTATTCAGAAGACAAAGGCCCGGCCTGGACCAGCGGACGCTATCGTGAGCTAAACGCGGGGTCGATGTGTAAGGGAGCATCGCGTGGGTTCGGAGGCGTCCGACCCGGGTGGCTTAATTACACAACAGTCTGGTGAATGATGCCTAGTGGAATTCATACAGAGACGGCTTCCAGTGTCCAGGTCTTTGCAAATAAGAGCAGTATTGCATGAAAGGACGCGCTTCTCTGTACTTTGGTTTCATAGGGACGTGTCTCATCATAAGCAATGGATGAGATCAGGAAACAATGTCTTACCTTGACCGAGCCTCTTCGCGCCGATCATTATGATGTTTCACACTGCGAATGTTCAGTAGTGAGATCGACGGAACCATGATCCAGGCATACCGCCATACACAGGAGCCGGATTGGGACTTATGAAATCCGGCAGTTGGGGGTGATCGAAGTCGGCAGTTGTCGCCTCACAGTACTTTTTTTGCGGTGCTTATTAGTGAAGCGCCATCTCTGATTCTCCTGGCGCTCTAACGCAAATGTGGTAACGCCTCACCGCCTCAAGCTGCTAGCACACACGTGTGGCACCACGCCCCCTTGCCACTCGGCCGCGATTGCATCCACTGCCACCGGCAAGTGCCTACTCAGCCATGACAACGTGTTCCGAACAAAGATGTGCAGCTTCAATTTGCGCCCATTTACGCCATTCAAAAACGGCGTGGTCAAGTCAACGCAACTTGTAGCCCAGACTTGGTAACCACGTCGGCATGTAGGTGTTCAAGTTTAATTCTCAGGCTGCAAATTGACTTCATCTTGCTCCTCCTCCCCTACTTCGAAGACGACAGATCTCAAGCGTTCGTGCCAAAGAAATTGGAAATGGGCTTGAGACTCATAAGACATTAGCCTGGATCAGTAAGGTAGTCATACAAAAGCTGCCTTCCAGATAGTTCTACCATATTGCTTATGTCAACAAGTTAGGAATCTCTGTCCGTAGCTGCGGAGTCGTCTGCGCCTGTCTGTCATTTGACTTGAGATTTCTTTTTGATGTTGCGAACCATGTGGCCCATACCGTCCTGGTATGATTTTGATGTCGATTCATTGGTGTACCTTACGTCGAAAGGTGATCTGGGTGGCATACCAGGTGCAAAATCCCTGGACACAAGATAACGAGACCTAAAGATATTGGATGGGCGAGGCAGAAGGCAGAGAAAGTAGAGTGATAGCAATCGCTCGGTTGTTTACTCTGGAGTGATCGCCGGTGCTTCGAAGTAGGCTCCCACAGTAAGACGCACCAACTCACAATGATTAAACTCATTGAGTGGTCTATCTATAGCATCTAGAAACGCAATAGTGACTGCGAAAAGACTAATGCAGCTTGCGCAAGGCAGCAGGAATGAGTTCATCTTATGGAGAAACAGTTCTCTAAGGCGAACAGCGCCTTTCGCATCTCTTAGAATGTGCAAGAAGACATGCTCGGCGTCAGGCTACGTTATGGCACTTTAATCACCATCCGGATGTTCGCGTCTGCTGTCTTTGGTCACACAGCCGGTTCAGACTTTCACACGTATCCAATCAATTGGTGTCACTGACAAATCAGCTCGATGATTCTTATTGTTGTCCCTACCAGGAGACAACTACGTTTCAGCAAATCGCCAAATGACAACCTCTGAGCATAACGGAGAGCTTTTTCATATTGCGAGAGCTTCCCAGGACTTCACTTACTTTAGGGGATCAACGTCCTCGAGGGAGAATAGAGGGAAGCTGCCGATCTGACAGCCCATTGAGTTCAAGATAGATGGACCGTTCTCAAGAGCACCACGTCAGCGCCAAACCTGGGTCGCAATCTCAGCAGCCAACACAGTTAGGAGACAGGACCGTGTACAAAACTGAACAGCCTCACTGGGGGAGTCGCCGATAGTCTGAGATTCATAAAATTTATATGAACGCTCAATGATCAATCATTCGTAAGTCGGCCTTGCCTTTCTCCATCACTTAGGATATCGTTTCCAGGCTACCACACATTACATCTTACTACACCTTTCTCAGAGGATAGTGGTGATTTTGTTTTTATTTTGAACTCTTCCGAAAACTATGAGTTGTATCCCAGATGACGGGAAGGAAATTGATGGGTTTTGGGCCAAAAAGTCTTACGTTTGCCGCCGCCTGAACCACAAACAGGGCCGGAACCAACTCGCAGCTGAATCCACGAAGAAGAAACTTCAAATGGCGAATGAAACAAGGCCAAATGGAGGATATTCCTTCGATCAAAAGTCCCAATTCCATTCCCCGTCAAACGTGCCGAGGAGCCGAAAACTCCGAGAGAGCATACTCTCCGAACTCCCCGACCGTGCTTCACAAGTGACGTAATCCGGATCCGAGGTCAGCACAACGGGACTTTGGTTCTCCATGCTCTATCATAAATAAACCGCCAAGAAGAACTGAGCTACAGTGACCTTCAAACCGGCGGGCAAAGATCGTCTGTCACTTACACACAGAGCCGCTAGACTCCCCAGAACCGCAAACACCGCAACAATGTACTACAACCCAGGCGTAAACGACCACGGTCTCCCCCACGACCCCTTCAAAGTAAACACCACACCTTCCCAATCTCCATCTCACTCACTAACCTCCCACTCCAGGCCTGCGTCGTCCCCCGCGCAATCGGCTGGATCTCAACCACCTCGCCCACCGGCCAGCACAACCTCGCGCCCTACTCCCAATTCACCAATGTCACCTTCGATCCGCCCATGGTGATGTTCTCCGCAAACCAGACCCTGCCCGACGACGCCACGCAGACCCGCAAGGACACCGTCAACAACATTGAGGCCACGGGCGTCTTCTGCTGGCAGCTGTGCACCTACGCGCTGCGCGAGGCCGTCAACGTCACCGCGGAGGCCGTGCCGCCCGACGAGGACGAGTTTGCGCGCGCCGGGCTCGCCAAGACCTTCTCGCGCGGGCTGCGCGTGCCGGTGCCGATGGTGGAGGCGTCGCCGGTGCGGTTTGAGTGCGAGTACGTGCAGACGGTGCGGCTGCCGGGCAAGGGCCCGATGGGGACGGTGGATGTGGTGTTTGGAAGGGTGGTGGGCGTGCATGTGGACGAGTGGGCGTTGACGGATGGCAAGATTGATGTGAGGAAGACGAATCCGATTGCGAGGCTGGGGTATTTTGAGTATGGGGTTATTAATGATGCTTTTGAGATGGTTGTGCCTGGGGATAAGAGGATGCTGATCGGGGTGAGTTTGGCGTCTTGTGTGATTGGGGGTATTGCTGACTATTGAGATATAGCTCTCGGGAAACGCGTCAAAGAACACGGATGAGGATTTAGAACAGGCCAAGAACTCATGATGGACATCAGGTTTCCATGGAGGGCTGAGGCTGGCTTATAAAAAGTCGACCGAGATTGAGCGCAAAAGATCTATAGAGGTACTATTTCCCTTCAAATGCTAGACCTCAGGCATTTTCAATACCGGGGTTCTCTACAATTAGATGAGCCAGCGGGATAAACAGCTTCATCGCACCCCCCTCCTTCGCCTTTGCGTTGATCTCTCTGACCTCATCCCACGACATCCAGTACCACCCAGAGCACTTTTCAGGTTCCAGGTTCTGCCCATCATTAGCACCGCTCACATGAAACTAACCGCAGCTTTACTTGGGGGTATTGGGAAAAATGGCAAAAGTCAGAACTCACCACCGGCTCAGCCGCCTCATCCTCCATCTCGCACCTCACGAACAGCGTCACGTAGTGCTTCCCCTGCTCCTGAAACACGTCGTTCGTCACGCCGGCGATCTTTCTCGCCTTGACTTTGAGCTGCGTCTCCTCCGCCGTCTCGCGCTCCGCGCAGCCGAAGATGGACTCCCCGAATTCAAGATGCCCGCCGGGGAGCTGCCATGTACCTGCGCAGGAACGTTAGCGTCCGATTATCGTAGGCCGAATGAGACTGCAAGTGTAGAGAACTCCGCAAGGAATTCCTCGTAGCCCATAGAAATGAGGAACCTTCAGGAGTCGGGATTTGAGAAGGGTTGACGTTACCTGCGCCGTGGCTACTCTCCCGCTTTCCAACCACGATCTTGCCGTCCTTGCGCTGGACGATCGCCGCGACGCCGATGCGCGGGTTCGCGAAGGGGTTGATTGTAGTGACAGACATCTTTTCGCCAAAGAAACTCACTAGCTATGTATATCAGAAGAATGAAATGAAGGCTCGTTGAGTGATCAATGCCAAGATAGACGGTGCTAAGTTGAGGTTTAAAAGAACTCACTGACTCACTTCGGTAGTACCTGGACAGTGAGATTGGGCCAGTGAGAGACCAAGTGTGCCTCACTGCAACCAGCTCCCTTGCACCGCCGCACCGCCACGGCAGGCTCACTGTGGCTGCGCCTGCTATTTCGCGGGAAACGCCTGCGAGCCTCGTTCAGTCTCACTGAAGTTCCAAACCCTCTCACTCATTCTTCCACATTTAAAACTAAATAAACTTGCTCAAACTCACAATTGCTAAAACTTTATACACATACAGACATCCACTTTCCATTTCTACTAACCCATCTTGCAGACCAGTCCCGCTCCGAAGTGGATTCCAGTAGCCCTCCCGTCGCCCACCATCAAAGCCATCTCCCCCTGCCACCCTCTACAACAAGAAATGGTTTCGTGGTGTAGTTGGTTATCACGTCAGTCTAACAGATCGAGTGCGCATTCTCCGAATGCCTTCGCCTGGCACACTGAAGGTCTCCGGTTCAAGTCCGGGCGAAATCAGAGCAATTGGGCGATTGGTTTAGTGGTATAATACTCGCTTAGCATGTGAGTGGTCCAGGGTTCGATTCCCTGATCGTCCAGTTCTTTTTGCTTTTTGCATAGGGATCGTACTTTCTTTTTGTTTTTAGAGGGTATTAGAGGAGGGAGGGCCAGGAAGTGGATGCGTAGTTTGGGGGGAGTAGCATCAGTTGAAGCTATAGCGACATACGATTAAGCGTTGTAGATGGCATCGACATGGTAAAAATACATCTCATCATTCATTCATTACCTCTGCTTGCAGTGGGTATCATTACATAGCCTTTCCAAGGGCCGTCGCGTGAGAGGAGACATTTCCAACGAACTCGCCCCCCTCTACCAGGCCCCCTTGGCCGGCATATTCTCCGGGTCCATCTCGAACCCCTTGATACTCTCCTGCCAATTCTGCCAGTTGAAGTCGTCCAGGTTATCCATGTTGACATCCATTGTGTCCATCGGCACGTCGTCGAAGCGGTTGTTGATAGACGTGAACGGGTCGGACCACAGCCACGGGGGTTGGTTGTCGCTGAGGGACGACGCGATCTGCGGCTGGGACGTGGCGGCGATGGCCTGTTGCCTCTGCCTCCGCTCGGCGTCGGTCATTTGGGTGTTGTTGGAAATAGCCGGCGTGGGGACTGCCGTCGTGACCATGGGTGGCTGCGATGCCGGCGGCTGGATCGCGCTGGGTGGGAAAAGTGTGTTGTTCGGGTCTGCGGCCATGGACTGCGCCGTGGGGTAGATGTACTCCCACATCTCGCTGGACGTGAAGCCCGCTCGGGACATCATGACCGTATCAAGCTCCGAGTCTTCGTCGGGCATAACCACCTGGCCGGGGAACATGTTGACCGGCTCTCCGGCAGGTTTGGGTTGAGGGTATGGGTCCATCGGGGACCTCTCATTACTCGGATTCCTCCGTTCGGCGGGTGGCGGTTGTGTCAGGGGCAAATCTGCCCGAACCCCACATAGCTTCCTCCATCGGGTGCGAATCGCCTGTTGTTGGCTCTCCATGCCGGGCACCGGGCCCAATCTGGCCGGGATCGTGTCCATGCGGTCGTCGACGTCGAGCTGGCGGGCGGCCTCGGGGTTTGCTCGTAGACGGGCAATCTCAGCCTCGCGATGCTTCGTGGCCTTCGCGCTGAGTTTTCGCAGCGGCATCCACACAGCCATGTGGTCTGCCATCTTGGCTATCTCACCAGGGTCCTGATCGAATCTAATGGTTTTGTTGACTGCCTCCCAGCCACGCTCAGAGGTGGCTGACCACGGGCGACGGCCGGCCTCCATGAGGATGTACGCAATGGCATGCCATTGTCTGTACGTCTGGAAAAGCCACCGCCACTGACGGCAGCGAGGGTCAGTGTTTAGGATGTAATTATACTCGACAATTTCGATTGCTGATACGAAAAGTCTGTCGCGAATCTCGCCTGATAGTTCGGTCCCGTTGCCGGGGAACAGCATGGGTTGGTAGATGACCAGGCTCATCTTCGCCATGATCACGCGGGCGATCATGGCCGCCATCCAGAACAGCGGGTCGTCATCCGTGAAACAATGTTGCAGGAATTTCTCTTCGACGCGGTTGTAAACTTCGATTAGCTTGCTCTCGCGCTGTTCGAGGGTAGAGGACGCATCACGCGGACAAACACCCGCCATTGCCGAGCCGACGGTGTGCAGCCTTCTCGACAAGGCGCAAATCTCGTAACGAACAAGTGAAACCGCACAATCCGTCCTGCCTTGGCGTGGGGTTGGCGGCTCAATCATTCCTGGATCTATATCTGAATCGTTAAGGTTGGACGGCAGCTCCGTGTCGAAGGAGCGGTCGATAATGGTAAGATCGCTACCCAGTTCCTCGGCAGAACGCAGGTCGAGGGTGCAGATGGCCCACCACAGGCGGCGCCTCATTTCTGTTTCAAAAGGCGGGAGGTTGAAGTTTGTTCCGTCGCGGTGGATGCCCATTCCTTGCGCCATGCGGATTGCAAGCCCAGTGAGTGTCCAGCAGAATCTTGTGTCGTCTTGGCGGCGTACAAGGGTGAGGAATAGGACGAAGGCTTGCAGCACCACGATATCAGAGGTGTTGAGGAAATTGGCCTTTGCGAGGGCCTGTTCGAGCGCAAAACGGTACTGCGATAGCATCTCGTCCTTCTTGGAGCCAAAGTTCTTCTCGACCTAGCTTGGTGGTTAGCTGGAGCCAGTGTATCGAAAGAAGAGACACAAACCTCCTCGTCTTCCATGGATGTAATGGCGGCATAATAGATGGAAAACAACAAAGCCTCGTGACCGGCCGTAAGATCGTCCATGTTGCGTCGCATGTCGCGAATGAGTTTTTCCATCGTAGGAATATGCAGAATCTTGAGTAACGGCTCCACGTTCTCCTGGTACACCTGCCACATGAAGGGTATTTGCGACGGCAGTGGATGCAGCTTGCGCAAGTCAACATCCGAAGATCGGTATCCCAGTATAAACGCGTGATGATCGGTCGATGCGTCGACGGCGTGCAGAGGCGAGTGATCCGGTGTGTCTTCCTGGTCAGACTCGTCGCTGAACTCTTCGTCAAGAATGCGCGCCCGTTCTCGAAGTTCGTCGAGCTGTGATACCCCCGTCAGCTAACGAAACATGACGGCTCTCGACCGACTCACCTCATCATTCAGCTTGGACCAAAACGCGCTGCTCACGTATCGGCTCGTCTTTCCCTTGTCGTGCAACACCAAGCGGCCAAATGACTTGCTGACGCTCGCGGCCTTGGGCTCCATCCCCCTTGTCTTTTCTTCGATTGCGTCCAACTTCTTCTGCATAGCAGCCCCGTCCGCAATTCCTTCCCTTATCGCATTTAATTGCGCAGCAGTAAACGTCCTATTTCCGCGCTCTGAAGGCGCCTCGTGGCCTGTGGTTTCGGGGGAGTTGCCGGTGCTCGAGTTCTGGCGCCCGCCACTGCTTCCGGGGCCGCTTTCCACCTCGATCTGGCCGCTCAGCTCCTCGACGATGCCCTCCAGCTTGCGCAACCGCTTCATCAGCTCCACCTCGCGCTCGGTCGAGTTCTTTGGCGGGGCGTTGGGGTCCTTTGGGCGTGGTCGGCGGGGGGCGCGGCCGGGGGCGGGGAAGATGCATTGGATGACGGCGCGGCGGCAGTTGCTACACGGCATCTGCTTGTCGCAGCGGACCTTTCGCCTTCGGCAGGTGACGCAGCTGCGCGGATTGAGGGCAGGCTGGCCCGACGCCGTCATGGCGACAGGCTGGTCGGGGGGTATAGACGTTGCGCCATGGCGGCTGAGGGCGGGGAAGTCTGGCGCGGTAGAGGTGGTCGGGGAGGCAGGCGAGTGCTGGGGGTTATTGTTGACGGTGGTCGCGGGAGTCGTGGGATTCGACTGCTGGCTTGCTGGCGAGAAGTGCTCCATCTCCATGGCTGGCTTCGTGGGCCGATCTGTGCGGCGAGGGCTGTCGAGGGGCGGCGGAGGAGAGGAGAGGGATCACGAAGGTTTGGATCTGAGGGAATCGACTCGAGGTGTGACACAAGTTCGGGACGCTTTGGGGCTGACAAATGGTGGGATTCGATTCTACGACGGCGGCTCTTTGCGCTCTTGGCTGCTTGCTTACCCACGGCGAGACATGAGGCGTCGTTGCGCGGCTAAATGGGTTCTGCTGGCATTATCCGGACCCGCGAGGATGTCAAGGAAAAACAAAACCCAAGGAAAAGAGTATGTTGGTGTTGAGCGAGGTGCGGTTTGTGGTGGTGACGAGTGTTGGGGCTGCTGCATTGGCAGAAAGAAAGCATGCCGACGCTCGCTGTTGATTGGGAAAAAAAGGTCCCAGTGTGAGTCGAAAGTGGGGGAGGCGGGAGCGCTGCGGGACACTCTGAGCCCAGCGTCACATCAGTGCAAACAGCGCAGTGGGCCCCGAGAGGTCGGAGCTTCATGCCGGCGCGCCTATGATCGGCCGGCTTTGAATGTGAGCCTTCCCATTGGCCATCTCACCTGTGTCCCGATGCCGCATTCGGTAACCCGGTCTTCACCTTGACACACCGAGAAGACCCTGACTCACATGGCAGACCGACGACCGGTGACGGCTCGGTGAGGCGAGAGCAGCCTCCGATATCCTCGGATGCTCCGTGGCTGGCCTCGGTCAACGTTGAGAGACTCGGATCAGCCTCTCACCTACGAACTTCAATATCCGCCGAAATTTTCAACTTTTTCATGTCAGACCAGAAAACATAAACACACAGGCCATTGCCCGGTTCAAGCTCGAAACTTGAGACGATTCTCGTCATTGATGCGACCGCGGCCTGCAACCCCCGATAACTCCGAGAACGGCGCCTTCTGAGACTTGCCCAGCCCAGCCTAGGCTTACCAAGCTTGCACACGCAACGGCTAGCGCAAATCTGCGTATGACGCATA